AGCATTTCATCATGACCACTAAAAAGTATGTTCAATAAAGTATGAATGTGTGTAGTACGATTTAAATACTACATTAGAAACTACAGATCCTCTTTCATGCCCTCATAGTATAGTAAAATGTCCATTGGATGAGCACTTCAGAATCTCTACAGTAATAGTCGGTCATTCATGCAGTAGGTACTTTTTGCTGTTTTATGAATACTATGAATAAATGCTGAGACTTGAAAATGTATTCAATAACTTTGGTGTGGCTTCGTCTGATGATCTAAACTCAACTATGATGACTGGACAAAAAAGTGAAGCAATTTGTGTTGAAATACAAAATGGTGGCCAATCTGATGGGCAGAGATTCAATTTAAACTTTACTTGACTCAGCATGAAGCAAGATGTCAGAGAAAACTTTTTTTATCTATACCAAACTATTCGAAAAGCAACAGAAACAGTAAAATTTGAGCAGTTTTTGACTGAGAACCCTTTAAGATTGTTACAGCATTCTTAAAGTCACGAAAAATTTTTTTCTGATGTCAGTTAAACCCAATGTTAACGCAAACCCATTTTAATGGAGTACATTTTTTTATCGCGAGATTAACATTCTTTTTGGCATTTCATTCTTTTTTTTTTTTTTTTCTCACGTTTTTGTAACAACTGGTAACATTAGAAAACTACAACACCACACCGGATCTAGCTTTTTTCACCCTTTTATTAAATGGACAGTGTTACACTGTTTGAGAGATTACTGTACTTGCTCCAAGTCCGAATGACTGCTCCAAGTGAGAATGTTAGTGTGAAATTGAACACTACAGAATATGGCAATGTTGTTTTCAATAAAAAAAATAAATAACATTAAAAAGAAAACATCAAACTGAGAAAGAAAAATGGGACAAAAAGAAATCAATGGACATTTAGAATAGATAAAGATGTGCGATTAACTATGAGTTATGACATTAATGTGATTAATCGCGATTAAATATTTTAATCTTTTGACAGCACTACTTTATTTGTTAACTATGTGAAGGCAAGTATAATGCCTTTTTCATAATCCAATGTTTTTCTCTGGATAAAGCAATTAAATTATTTGCTAAAACAAATAGAAATTGGTAGAAAATACAGCAGAGCTCGACAATAAGGACTGCCAGCGTGAACGACACTCAGGACAATTGACGAAACTGCCAGTGTCTCGATCAGGCCATCTTCACGAAAGTTTATCTTTTGCATGCGTTTTTAAGCCTTGCGGATTTAAATATTCAAGCACAAGCAGAAATTAAATAGAGCTCAATTGCACTGACTATGAGAGAACTTTTTCATTTTAATACCTGTTGTATTATTTGCAGTAGGGATGCACCGATATGAAAATTTTAGCCGATACCGATAACCGATAATTCTTTACATTTGAAAGCCGATAACCGATATATCGGCCGATAAACTTAAATCCATTTTTTTTTTTTAATTTTGAGAGCCTGATTACAAATGCAAAAGTCTCACAATTAAATCCATGTCCCAAGCGCACAATTATAAATGATGTTCTCATTATAGTGTATAGCCGATATGACAGATTTGCGCTCCACATGTTGTACCGAACTGTATTTTCATTTTTCGAAGAGATTTCAATCATATTTCAAGAAATTCAAAAACATAAACAGTGCTCAACAAGTGTCTCAGCTGAAGGGAAAAATACATTATTTATCGGCTTTAATATATCAGCCACATTGTCTTACCAGGCCGATAACGATAACATTAAAAAATGAACATATATCGGCCGATACCGATATGCTGGCCGATATATCTTGCATCCCTAATTTGAAGTAAAAGCAAATGCCATCTGGCTCTGACGAAAATGATCTGAAGTCGTAATAACACCTTCCCAACTTGTTAATCCAGAACATTCCAGAACAACTTGAACACACCATTACACCCCGGTCCAATCAGTGTGCCAAATTTCACAACTTTTTACCATATGGTTTCATGGGCTGTCTAAGACACTCAGACATAAAAAGAATACAAATATGGTGGAACGAAAATACCGTTGGTACTTGATCCCAAATAGAACATATGCAGTCAGACTTCTATAGTAAAACTTTCATGGATTAGAAAGGAAGTAATTTGGGCTTTAGGTCTTGTGTTGACTCTGTTCCAGTTTCTCTTCTATCCTTTTCCCCAGACACGCTTTTTTTTTTTTTTGCCTTGGGCTTGTTTGGTTTTTTTTTTTCAATCTTTTAAAATCTCTACATCTAAAAATATTTGACCATGTGTGTGACTAGTCTTGATTCTGCCAGTGGGGAGGGTGACCTCTCTACGCGGTTGGCAGAATGGCAGCACCTAGACTTGGCACATAATCAAAAGTGACAGATGCCCTGCCATGGGCTAGCCATTAGCTCCTAGCAGCTAACAAGCCTCCCCTAGCACCATATAACACTACAGGCCTACTAATAGTCCAAAGCTTATGCTAGTTCCACGCAGCCCCAATCCTTTCCATGATTCCACTGCTCTAGCTCAAGTGAGCCTCTAAATGCCTCTGATAAGTCCAGCTTAATGCATGCTAATGTTGTTATCTTTGCTACATCCAATTAGCACTGCCATGGAATCTACGGAAGCATGTTGCTCACATGCACAAACACTGACACAGCTCCTTTGAAAAGGATGTTAGGATGTGTTATGGGCTTTTGAAGATGTTAACTAGTCAAGAGAGGATATACAGCACGTGTGGAAACGTTTCAGAGCTTTACCTGTGGTGATGACAGCAGGTCAGGGTTTGTCAACTACTTTCTTTTGAGGAACAGATTATCTAAGAAATTTACAACAATGTACACTTTTTAGTGGAGGGCAAGATAAAAGTAACCATGCTACTTTTATTTTTATTTTTCAGTAACCAGATGTTTTCAAAGTCGAGTAGCTCACTGAACAGTCTAGCAAGCATGGTAATCAAACATACAGTACTCATAATAATCTTTAAACAATCTATGAGACATAAATAACTACATTTCTGTTCAAAAGTTTGGGGTCGGTAAGATTTATAAGGTTTTCGAAAGTTGGCTGTATGAATTTGATAATTTACTAGTTTATTGCATTTCAAAGTTTGGGAGTAACATGTTGAAATGATCCGCACAAGTTTTCCTCTACAATTTTACTGCACCCCTCCACCACCCAGACTCCTATACTTTTTGCTGGTCCCGATCCCAGCCAGGGATACGGTGAAAGTACTCTTTCCGAGCTTGGAGCCCTCCCCTTGGACAGCAAGGCAATTTGGATATGAACTTGTGACTTAAAATGTAATCTATTCCTGTGATGGTAAAGCTGTATTTTCAGCAGCCATTACTCTAGTCTTCAGTGGGGTTGGGTAGAGACAGACGCGCTAAGCGCTGTCATATATCACAACCATTCAGTGTTTTCAACCACATAAGGTTTATTTTAGGTTTTAGAAAGAAGAAGAACCTTCTTGCCTGAAGACATTACTTTTTCTTTTACTTTATTAGTTCTTTTTGTCCTGCACCTGCCAGAAGGTGGGGTGTGCACACAATTACTTTTTTCATTATTTTAGGTTTCAGACATTTAAAAAAGTAGGCTATTAGCAAAACAACATTTATAGTTAGTGAAATACACACTGATATCTTTGGAAGGGGCAAGAACAATCCTTTCAATTATAAATGGATTAAGTGTATAGATGGGTTACTATAAAATTAACTCTATTGTTCTCACACTTCACCAGCCACTTACTTTAATGTATTTTAGGAGAAGTGGATGAATTGATGTGTTGTAGGCTAGGCTTAAATCTGACAGATTCAATTCTCTTATTATTTAGTTATTTAGTGTTAAATTATTGTATTTGGCTCTGGTTTTATTGTGAATTTGTTTTGTATTTTTTATGTGTTTTACATTTAGACTACTTGTATTTATATATTTACTTTAAAATTTGAATATATTAAATGTGAAGAATTAATTTTATTTATTTATTTCAATTAAAAAGCCGCTCTTTAATGTCATTCACAATCGTTTTGAGGCTCTTCAAAGGTTCAGGCACCGATATCAAAAAAACAACAACAAAAAAAAAACAATATCCAACCCTAGTCTTCAGTGTCACATGATCTTTCAGAATGTTGATTTGGTGCTTAAGGCGAGACACGGCAGGCAAAAACTTTTTTCATGCAGTGATCAGTTTTGAGATTTTGTGTTCTTTCAAGCTGCTATAAATAAAATGTTGAAAATATACATTAAGATGTTTATTTTATTACATTTTGTTTACTTGTGGCAGTAAATTTCTCCCGAATTTAACAAGAAGTTAGCATTCAAACACGTTGTACCACGCTCCGTCTGTTTACTGAAGTCTGTCATGACCGGTATCGCTGTAAAGCTCTGAATCTTCTGCACAAAGCTATGTAACCCAAATATGGGCATTTTCCTTCTATCCAAATTAAAGCTAATGACGAAATCTCATTGGCAACTGCTGGTTTCTGCTAACGTGATTCGCTCACACGTATCACGTGGTGTACTCTGCCAATGTTAATTCATTGATTTACTGCAGTTGTAGGCCTTATATGCATGCCATGCTATTAAATAATCAGTTTTCATGAGATTGCAATATCATATATTATTATTTCTAAGGGCCTGAGCACTTATTCTTATTCAAGTATCTCAGCCTATGTAGCACCTATGTACACCAAACTTTCCAGTTATACACTTAGTTTTACACAAATTTCTAAAACTTATAATACATTTTTTAAATATTTGTGTAAGTAATCAACTGAGGAAGTTTCATGGTGATATCTATTATTTAAAAATTTTCCCCTATTCACCTGTAGTGTCTCACCTTAAAAAATCATTTCTTGCAAACATTTCTTGATAAATATTTTTGTGGAAACTGTTTTAAAAGTTCCAAATAACAGCTGTGTGTCTGAAGAGCAACGAATTTAAAAAATATCAAAGGGTCATAAATATTTTGACGAGGAGAATCTGGCCTGTGTTGACTAGTTGTCACCCTGAACTCAAGACTTTACTTTCTTTCTTACCACTGGGCCAATGATGATGAGGACCACTAGAGGGTTCTGACTGTGCCATTCTGTAAGAGAGAAAATCAACAAATTTGATCAAACACACATATGTCTACTAACAATAAAATTCTAATGATACAGTTTATGTTCCACGAAGAATGATATTAAACGGATTTTATAGAGCAGCAATACCTGCAAAAGCTTCTAAAAGATACAGAGGATCCTTAACTCGTCTGAGTCCACATACCAGCAGAAAAACATGTAGATTTTCCACTTGATTGGTAAGCACACCTAAAACACAAGACAAGGAATGTCATATCAAGACAGTTTTGGAATCTTTATACATAGTTTCATGATTTAGAATTTTGGTACTTTTCAAATGCCTTTTATGTATAGATTTGATAGATCTACACTCGATGTGGGCATTGCGTCCCATTAAAAGCAAATTAAACCCATTATACTAACTGATGCTGTCTACACTGGATATAGTAGAGTACTTGAGTCTACTGACAACAGGAAAACTGGAAGAGTGAAAAGTCCGTTTGCGTCTCTGTATAGACTTCAGAAGGATCCCAGAATGGTTTATTTGAATACCGTTCTTGATCGAGTCGGGGGATTATATGTTTGTTCGGAGCATTTTGTTTTGTAAACAAAGCACAGTGTAATGGAGAGTTCGCAAAAAAAAAAAAAATGTTGAAAGATGAATCAGCCAACTGTATTGGATCTGACAGATCTGACAAGTAAATTATTTCATTAGGCTTTATCTGTAAATGATAGTTTTATTTTGGTAATGTTTTCAAAACACTTACTTACGCACAATAGCAAATGGGCGTTGATACCGTTTCCCATTCAATGACGTTAGCCAATCATAAATGTGGACGTTTACAGACAAACTTTAAAGGAGCTGCCCCTTAAAAGTGGATTATTTTAGCAGAGGGTCAAAAAAATATATTTTGCTATTTTTTGCAAAAAAAAAAAAAGTAACATTATAAGTATGTTATACTTGTAAGTATGGTATCCAAAAGGAACATATTCAAATAAATGAATAAAATACACAACGACCCCTTTAAATTATATATAAAAATAAAAATTATATCAGTTTATGATAGTTTAAAACTAAGAGTGAAATAACATTCAATGAATATTCAAATAGTTTGCTTAGTGATTTATAAACAAAAATCTGTTTCCAATTAATTTATATTTGGTCAAATTATGCTGAAAAGTGTGAAGATATAATTTAGTTGTGCAGGTTTAGGATAAATTAAATGACACGCTATGAAACTAGCATTAGCTGAATAAAGGAGTCTGCCAATTTTTTCCAAAAAATGTCTATTGGACATTTTTACCATTTCCATCACTGAATGCTGGTCCACAGTGTTAAAAGTGCTCATATTTTGAGAAACACCTAACTACAAGTGGAGAGTAACTGCTGAACCTGAATCAGATGTTTAAGTGTTTCTGAGCACTGAAATGTAATGTGACATAAATCAATGCATATATGCTGTACCTCCATGTGTAATGAGGCTAATCCATCAAACAAGGTCATAGAGATGTCAGAGATGCAATGAGCGCAAAACTGATTGCATGCTCAAAGTAGCGTGCATGACGAGTACTTTATCAATATGGCATACATAAATAGTAAGTATGTCATGTATGGCATGGATCACAAGCATACACAAAGACTAACAACCATCTATATGTATATTCATTGGTTTAAAGCCGAACATCTGGATCCCTGAACGACCACTGGATTTTTGATAATCAATTGGGAAAACTAAGGCTATCACTTTGACACACTAACTTATTTCAGTTATATATATATATATATATATATATATATATATATGAAGAGTTCAGATGCAAAAACCTCTAAGTGCCATTTGACATTTTCTTCTAGAATGTTCATTTTTATCAAGCTCGTATATTTAAGTTCAGTGATTTATACTTAAATGGCAATGATAATTACCTATTAATTGTTATTTAAGTGAAATTACTGAACTTAAATATACAAGTTTGATAAAAATCATCATTAAAGAAGAAAATTTCAAATGGCATTTAGAGGCTTTTGCATCTGAACTCTTCATATACACATACAACTTCCCTGCTTGGTATGTAAATGTCTTAAACATTGCAGCAAATTGTCCTCACCAAAGTACCATTCACACAAAAAACGCATTCGAATTCAAAGGCATATGGATTGCACCGGATGCTTTTTAACAGTCTTTAACAGTTGTTAGGGTGACCAACAGTCCTGTTTTCAAAGAACATGTCCTGTTTTCACGTCCTGTCCTGGCTGTTTTTTATGAAGTAATGAAAATGTCCTGGTTTTCAAAAAACTGCTGGGAAAGATCAGCTCTACTGCAAAATATAGATGGGCAAACAAGGAGGATGAGGAAGAAAAACAGGATAAAGAAGAAAACTAAAGATTTTAGTTTGTTTTTGTAAGTTTGTGACAGCTATTGTTCAATTTGGAAGTATTTCTTTTAGTTATTTATTAGTTATATGTTTATTTTTCTAATACAGAAGAGACATTATCATTATCATCATTATTTCATTATTTTTGAAACCTGTCATAATAAAACATGCTGAGTAACCTCTGAGAAGTCTACCTGAATTTGTGTCTTGTAATAAAACAATTTTCTATCCAAAGAGGAATACCCTACTTTAAAAGTATTGAAAATAATAAGGCATCTTTGAGTAAACGGGCCGAGTGTCCTGGTTTTTGGTAATCAAAATATGGTCACCCTATATGTTCATGATGATGCATGTCCATGTGACACGGCCCTCTCTGTTTTGTCAGTGGTTGGTATATGTGGGAATGTTCAGTCCAAATCTGTGCTTTGCTCCAGATCATCCCTCGTTTAAATCCCACCTATTCCAGATTATCCACAAACATATGAGCGTTAGTGTACGCATGACTGCATATGTGTGACGTCTGCACAGAGTCAGATTTATTATCTTAAACTGTCTTTACTGGACAAATACAAACAACACAGAAATACTTTAATTTATCTAAATCAAATAGCAATTTCTTCACCAAAAAAAAAAAAAAAATCAATAATAACAATAGGTTCCGCCGAATACTCCCCCATCTGTCCTTAGCAAACAGATAGGCCTTCCCCAAGCTCAAGTCAGATTGTGTCAATGCATTACAGTTTGTCATGTGAAAGGGCCTTTAGAGATAAAGTAGTATTACACATACTATTTTACAAACACAGTATAAATGGGTTTCTATAGATGAAAATACTGTGTACTGTTGCTTTGAAATTTGAAGCAGCCACTACCTCAAAATGGGATCAACAAATTTGAGGCTCCTTTGCATTAAGCATTAAAATTTAAAAACCTATGAATCTTTCAGAAACAATGTTAGTGCTTTATTTAGCCTGTTTTGGGCAGGTAAAGCCAGAGTGCCATGCTATACGCCTGAGGACACGAGTGAAAAATCAAATGAACTGTGCTACTCTTTTGGCTACAAACAACCCATACACAAGCGGCTTAAAGCTGAGCATTGTTGCTTTTAGTAGAAATTGCTCCCTATTCCTGATCTGGAATAAGTTTCAGGATTGATGTTTGTTTCGGCAAGGCTAAGGCTGGTCAGAGGCCAGTATGAGGACAGCTTCTACCCTTAGACAGTAGGGGAAAGGTCACAAAGGTACGTAACGTGAGGTTAAGCTCTGGGATTAGATGACTGATGTAAGGGTACATGCTTAACATGGTTTACCTCACATACAAGGGCTTTGAGTGAATATTTACCTGGAAAGTGAAAGACATTGATGGTTTCACCAAATTTACCCCAAAGCTGCTGTACCTAAACTCACATTAGCTCTACTGTATATAAAGGCATTTCTAAAAAGGGTAGTCAATTTAAAATTTATCTTTTTTTTTTCTTTTTTTTTTTTTTTGGAAAAGTTCAGCTTTCAGACATTTAACCCTTTTCATGTTAGTATGCATACAATTACAAATACTTTTGTGAATTATTAAATAAAAATTAATAAAAAAATTAAATAAAAAAATTATTAAATATAGTAAATATTTGTCAAGCACCATTAAAATATTTCATATTTCATTATATTATAGTAGATGTTTATTTAGGGCAATATTATTTCTAATTTCAAAATTTTATTTAATTTGAAAACAGGAGGCCAAACTGCAATTCGAATTTAAATGTAAGGAAGTAGATTTTTTTTTGAATCAATGAAATTGATTATTCTTTTAATCAATAATTTGAATAAGTTTTCACTAGCCGCATTTTCATTACAGATTCCAGCAAAACTTATGCAATATTTTCTAAATGACGATAAAAAAACTTGCGAAATTATGATGTTATGATGTACTTAAACTATGTTTTTCCTCTCGCAATAAGTCATTCCAACAATTATGGCAAGGAATGTTGGTACATTCAAAACTGTTGCATACTAAAAAAATGCCTTTTATTTATGCACACTCAAGTCACTGTCTTTAAATTAAGTGTGTTCAATAATGTGCTTTTTTGTCCTTTGTGTATCTTTGGATTCTGTTGTGTTGTAAATAAATCCAAACAATCAAAAATCCATTCTTTGTTTAAATTCACTTCTCATGCTTCCTCATAATGATAGCACCTAATAGGGCCATTATGGGAGGGTCTTTGTCTTTCTCAGGTGTGAAGCACTCAATATTAAAGGCGTGGCTCACGTCTCTTTGCATAAAGCTTTCTTACACAAAACGACTTGTACATTTAAAATCAATATATTGTTTTATCTGAATGAGTATGCTGGATGAATTTCACATAGTTTTGAAGCAAATATTCTAGGCTATGCGATACAATTTCCAAAAGTCTTGTCAAGAAATCAGTATGGGTTTCATGACCTTATTTCAGTGACATTTTTTTTTTCACAAACCACACATTAAAGGGTTAGTTCACCCAAAAATGAAAATTCTGTCAGTATTTACTCACCCTCATGTTGTTCCAACCCTTTCGTTCATCTTCGGAACAAAAATTAAGATATTTAAGATATTAAGATCACTCCTGTGTATACTAGTCCATAGGCTTCTTGAGAGAATGACAATTGATGGCCTCGAAAATTCATTAAAGACATCGTTAAAATAGTCCAAGTGACTTCAGGGGCTCAATCTTAAGTTTATCAAACGACGAGAATAATTTTTTTTGCGCAAAAACAACAAAAATAACGACTTTATTTCAACTATTCATTAATTTCTCCCTCTGCCTCGAGTCAGGTTACTAGTTTAATAGCGTAAGCTTCTGTTATTGTACGTCACACGCATCACACACATGACCAGCGTCGGCCAATAGT